AAGTCAGGAGCTCGAGACAAAAACTGCAGGCAGCAGTAAAGAGAAAACAAAGTACTACAAAAAAAAAGTAAATTAAAGCAAGCCTGGGGATAGGAGTAAAAGTAAAAAAAAGTTGAACGAATAAAAAAAACCGCCATCAGTAGGGGACTTCCCCCGTTTATGAAGCTAATGCTAAGGTAAAACTGAAGGCAAATAAGGTAAAAAAAAGTTGAACGAATAAAAAAAACCGCCATCAGTAGGGGACTTCCCCCGTTTATGAAGCTAATGCTAAGGTAAAACTGAAGGCAAATAAGGTAAAGCTGAGAGCTCTCAGCTTTACCTAAGACATAAACAGGAAAGCCCGCTAACGCAGACGGGCTTTTATAAGGCAATTCCCATTCATAAGTCTTCCCTCCTGCCAAGTTTTTTTTATTTATTCGTTGCTTTTGCTTTCTCAGTTTTTCTTTGCTTTTGCTTTCTTTAGCTTTTATCCATTGGTTCCGATTCTTTGATTTCGATTTTTCCCTTTCTTTCTTTCATAAGTGCAGGTTTCCTCTCATTTAGTTTTTTTTTTGTCCCTTCCGTTTTTACTGCTGTCTCAAGCTCTTGCCTCGAACTCCTGACTAGTATTTATACTCCCCTTCTTTATCCTGTCCCCAAATTCTGTCTCCACAGTTTCCTTCATATTCTCATTGCTGTCGGTAGTCGGGCGCCTTTCTAGGCAAAATACACTTTCTTTGTCTGAGCTATCTCTCATACGCAGTATACATTTTTTTGTGGCAACTGCTTCTTTGACGGCTTTTCGTGGGTTTCCGTGACGCTCGTCTTGCTTTTCTTGTCAAGAATAGGCTCTGTCGCCCAAAGCTGGTTTGCGTGTCAGAACGCGTCTACCAGCTTGAGCAGGGTGAAAATTGCGACGTTGAAATGTGACTGGTGTCCGTAAACAAAATTTGTTGTTTTCTTAATAGCGACAGAATTTTCATGGTCAATGACAGAAAAAGGAAGGAGCTCAGAAATAGATTTCTTCTCCACTTCCCTTCCATCTCCCGCCTCCATTTCCCTTCCATCCTTAGTTTGCCGGTACTTCCTCTCTCACCCTCCATTCTGGTTTCTGAA